TGCATGGTTGATTGACAGATCAAATCAGATCCTTTGACTGCTTTTTCGTTTTTTTTTTCACATCAATAATCGGTTCGTCAGAGTGTCTGCTCTCCAATCACTTTGAATGTCACTCAGAATGCTTTTTTCAATAAGCATCGAAGATATTTTGCATTGATTTCGAAATTCCTGATGAAATCATTCCATTCCAAACGAAACTTTTAATGTCAGTATTACTAAAGAGGCTGATTATTTTTGATGACCAGATTAGAGAGAATCTTCCTTCAAAAACGACTCAATACCGACTGATGCAAAATGCAAAATGAGGTGATTAATGTGTTCAGGAGTGAGATCTTCAATTCTTTACATAATGGATTTGAACGGGCTCAGATACGATAAACGTTTGTTTTCGTTGATAACCGGTGCCCTTGCGGGTATTTCTCAGTTCATGAGTGAAAACTACGTCGAATTGATTCATTCATTCGTGCTCGTCAATGCACCATCGTTCATCACAGCAATTTGGTGCGTTTCACTTTATCCGAAAAGAATTCCCAATAATTTGTGCATTGAATCGAGGTGAAAAAGGGACATACTTCATATATGAATGCACTCAAGTGATCAGTTGATTCGTTCACATTCAGTGGAACCTTTCATTCCGTTCGCAATTTCATTCGAGGCTTTTTCTCGATCAATCCAAGACTTTCCTTATTGGTAGGCATCTAGCAGCGAATAAACAAAATATATGAACACTGAAATCAACTCGTCAGCAACTAACCGTGCATGTCTAATTATACATTCTTTTACGTCCATTTTCGCCAGCGAAATGTCTTTTTTTTTGCATCCACAATGGAGCGTTTTCTCTTCATTAGGAGAATTTTTTTGAGCAGATGAAAATTTGCCGTCGACACGAAAATATTTCGACGGTAGGATTGAGAGGAAGAGTGTGTGCTCAGTTCAATTACAACTCTCATGAGCATTCAGTTCCGCACTTTAATTAAACATTCGCATGTTATAATTGTTTATTTCGGCTGTCTTTTGATGAATATCGTGCCGAATATCAATGCATGTCAAGCATGCATTATTGCACAGTTTATATGAGATTTCAGTGATACGGTAACCAAAAGCCTCACAATTGGTACTATATGTTCAATTCAAATCCGAAGAAAAGCTAATGCAAATCAGATCAATTCGTCAAATTTCCTTCACTTGTTTGCCTAAAAAATTCAGTGTTTTGTAAGGGTAATTAAATTGTTAGCGGATAACGTTCACAAGAACTTTCCAGGTCGGTCGCAAAACCTTTATTGCCCGAACGAACGCGGAATAAGGTGCAAATTTTCGGAGCCGGTTGGCGAAACGAAATCCTCAATTTAGCCGTTCCAGACGTGCTGCCAGCCTTCTGGAATAACGACGAAATTGATGTGCGTCGAAAGTTCATTTGTTTTCTCGTTAACGATTAGGGCAAATTTCGCTACATCTCGACTCTGTTCACAGATATGATATTAATTCGGAGGATTTTCCTTGACGTCTCTTGTTCAGTTGATAACTTATTTGCTGTTCATAGCAGATGTGAATCATTAGCGTGTAATTCCTAGCGCATTAACTGCATAATTTGTATCGGTATGGAAGTTGCCTTTTCAGGTCTTCAAAGCGGACATTGAGCGTTCGGCGGCACTCGACCCAGTGAATTACTTCAAGACTGATTCCTTTAAACATTCTGATATGATCACTATTGCGGCTGGCCAATCTGATTGCATTGATATCAGCGCACAAAAGGTTTGTTGTTTGCAGAGGAACACTTTTGAAAATAATAATTCCTTGTTGAATGTGTTGAAGTGCCCTTTTTATCTCATGCGATCAGTTATCGTGAGAACCAAAGAATTTGATCATTTGTAACGTCACTTATTTATTGTTAGACTTTAGCATTCTCTAAACGAATCTCCACTGACTGATCGTATGATTGCGCGCTGATAGACCCGTTCTGAT